GGAATCTTGGGCACACACACACACGTGCCTGGCGTGAGTTTTAAGCCACCGGGTCTGGGACTTGAACCATGGTTTACTACATGGGAGTCCAAAGACATAGCCATTACGCTAACTGCTGGTCCATATATTTTCTTCCAATATAAAGGATAATCTTGCTGAGTATAGTAATCATGGTTGAAATTGTTTTTCATTTAATACTTTGAATATATTTCCCCATTCTTCCCTTGCCTACATTGTTTCCAGTGAGAAGTTCTTTGTTAGCCTGATGAATAATCTTTGTAAGTAACTTGACGTTTCTCTCTTGCCAATTTTTGTATCTTGTCTTTGTAGTTTTTGGCAATCTGGCAATGATGTGCCTTGGAGAGGATCTTCCTGGGTTGATTCTATTTGGGGTCCATTGTATTTCTTGTATATTTGAATGCCTCTTTAGGTTTGGAAAGTTTTATTCCAGGATTTCATGGAATAGATTATCAATGATCTTATTATTTTCTTCACTTTCTGGAATACCAATTATTTGGATGTTTGGGGACTTAATGGTATCTAGTATTTCTTGTATATTAGTCCTCATTTTTCTTGGTTACTTTCGCAGCAGTTTTTGTTATTTTTTTCTAGGTCAGAAGTTTTGTCTTCTACATCTGAGATTCAATCTTCTGGATAATCTAATCTGTTTTTAATAGTTTGGACAGAGGTTTTGATTTCCTCTATTACAACTTTCACCTCTAACAATTCTGTTTGATTCTTTTTTATGGTGTCTATTGCTTCTTTCAAGTCATGGAAAGACTTCCTCATCTCCTGGAGCTCATTGTCTCTTTTCTCTTGCAAATCATTTAGTTTTGTCACAATAAATATTCTCAATTGTTCATCTGACATTTCCACAAGTTCCATTGTTTTATCTGTGGACGATAAGGAATTAATGTTTTCCCTTGAGGGAGAGATATTCTTGGTTACTCTTATTTCTTGTGCTTCTGCAATGGTTTCTGGTCATCTGGTGTATTATACATTGCTTCCTAAATTCTTCAAGTTAATTCTGAGTGTTCAAAGGCTTGTAGGATGAAGTGATTGTGGATTTCTCCCTCCCAGATGCTCACCTAGCAACCTAGACAGTTATTGCTGGACCTAGATAATTTAAAGCCCTCCTACTTTCTAGACAATAGGTGCACCTGGGGCTGAGCTGATGAGCTTCAATTGAGAAAAACAGAAGAGATTGTGTGGCTTTAGGAAACGCTGAAGTCTGAGAATTCAGAGGCATATGGCAGGGGATGAACCATGGTCCCTGCAGCTCAGCCTCCCTGCTGCACACAGCTCACTGTGCAGCCAGGCCCGTCACTAGGGCAGATGTCTCTATAGTGCAGGGAGTTGGGAAAGGAGGGATTCTCCAACTTCCAATTAACACATTTCCCAGCATGATTTTCAAGCCACCAGGTATAGGACTCAAAACGTGGTTGACCATGTGATAGTCTAGCACCTTAGTCACCATGCTACGTGCTGACTCCAACTTTCTCTCTCTTAAATGTGTGTGTGTGTGTGTGTGTGTGTGTGTGTGTTTAAGTTTATTTATTTCTTCCGTGAAGAAAGACAGTATTCCCAACAAAGTATGGATGCCACGATCCACCCCCAGCCTCAGTCAGTGATGGATAATGGACACATGTGTGCTTTGTTTACTTAAGAGAGGTCTCTGGACTGGGAACTTTCCCATGTAGGTCATTCTTGCAGAACATAACATTTTACCACTGTGCCATCACCGGGACCTTAGACTTTCCCTCTTTTAATTGATAACTATAGAACAAATCTGAACCCAAACTCATAGCTTTCTCTTTATATGCATATCTCTCTCTATTTTAATAATAAAATTTATTGAGGCCAGCAGGCCGTATGGTGGTTAAGGCACTGGACTCCAACATGACTGACTGTGGTTTGAATCCTGAACATGGTGGTCTGCTTGTTCACTTTCTCTCTCTCTCTCTCTCTCTCTCTCTCTCTCTGTATGTGTGTCTCTCTCTGGTGAGCACAGCTCTTTATATGCATATCTCTCTCTATTTTAATAATAAAATTTATTGAGGCCAGCAGGCCGTATGGTGGTTAAGGCACTGGACTCCAACATGACTGACTGTGGTTTGAATCCTGAACATGGTGGTCTGCTTGTTCACTTTCTCTCTCTCTCTCTCTCTCTCTCTCTCTCTCTGTATGTGTGTCTCTCTCTGGTGAGCACAGATACACTATAGCAAATTAAAAATAATAATAATTGGGACTAGCAGATGGAATAATGGTTATGTCACTGGATTCCAGCATAGTTGACCGCAGTTTGAGTCCCAGACCCAGTGGCTTAAAACTCACAATGGGTGTGTATGCATGCTCAAAATCCCAAGAGAAAAATCGAGAAGGAATTGCAGATTGTCCATACTCCCAGGGAGTGATTCTTGCTTTCTGTCCCTCCAGTGAGCACACGTGCCCTACAACAAAAATCTCTCTAAAAACCCCCAAAATAATAAAAGTAAAATTAAATAAATAATTCTTTTAAAAATAGACTTTTCTTTTGGAGCAGTATTTTTTTTTCTTTCTTTTTTTTTCAGAAAATTGAACAGATAGTAAAAAGAGTTCCCATATACTCCTTTTGTAGTTTCTCTATCGTTTCTTTTTTAAAATGTATTTTCCATAGGGCACATGAGCTCACTGCCGAGATGTAGACAGTGACAGGAAAGTGAGAAATCACCCCTCTAGAGGGTATGGGTGGAAAGCCACACCACAATCTCTTCTTCTCCATTCTCCTCCTGGGATTTTAGGCACACATACACATGTGCCCAGTGTGATTTTCAAGCCACCAGGTCTGGGACTCAAACTGCAGTTGGCCATGTGAGGTCCAGCACCTCAATTACCATGCCACATGCTTGTCTGATTTCCCTATTTACATATGTGTGTCAAATTTGTTTTAACTGATGAGATATTGATACATTATTATTAAAGTTATAATATAATAGAACACTGGAGAAGATAGCTTTACATTATAGTTCATTCAATAGATAAGGATAAATTTGGCAAATATAAACCAGTGTCAAAAGTTAAACCTGTATTTATTGTGTTTGTTTTTTGTCTAAGTCTGTTTGGTAAGAATGGCAAGAAGTTCCTCCTAATACTGAGAAATGTGTTCCAGGAATTGTTTATTTCTATGCCCATGACATAGAAAACCACATTTGTTAGCATGACTATAAGACAGTGTCATTCATTTATGGTCTTAAACTTGTGTGACACTGCAGAGTGATTCTTACCTTTATGTAAAGCTAAATGTCTTACATTAATTAGATATGCAATATGTTTAATAATTTATTGAGTTAAATAATAGTTTAATACTTAGTAATTCATTATGATCTTACTGATCTGGCTTTTGCTAATTCAACCAATATAAAAGACTTGTGCACATTTCCTTAAAACCAGGAATGTAGTGAAAGATATTTTTTCTTTGTGAAATATGTGTTTTTAAAAAAGTTGATTTAATAATTTTTTTTTTTTTTTGTCATAGGAGATGTGAACTTCCTAGAGAGAGACAGAGAAAGGGAAAGTAAGAAAGCACACCCTCCCCCAGAGGGTACAATCTCTTCTCCATTTTCCTCCTGGGATTCTGGGCAAGCACACACACATACCCAGTGTCATTTTGAAGCCATCAGGTCTGGGACTTGAACCATGGTCAGTCATGTGGGAATCCAGCTCTTTACACCACCTGCTGCCCCTCCCCCCAATTAACTTTAAAAACCAATGCTTTTTTCTGAAATTTCCACACTAATAGAGTTGACTATTCCATCCGTGATCTACCTATATGAATTTAGCATTTCAGTTTAGGAAGAAAACACAATCCTGTCTAACCTGCCATGCATGTATATTCTTTTAAAATAAAATCTTTTACCCTTTATATTAATAAAATTCTTTTTTTCACTGAAAAGCTATCTGAAAAACATTCCTTATCATATATAGAACAGAGAGAGACAGTAAAATAAGAACAAATTTTAAAATATTCAAAGGAACAACAGGAGGAATCACACTCATCCCTTCTTTGAAAGAAAAAAAAGATAATTCAAGTAGGAAGAAAATGTAACATATGCTTAAGCAATAATATTTATGACTTAGGTCAACTTCTCTAGACACTAGGATGAAAAGGAAATAAACAGTGTGTTATGCTTTTGAAACAAGATGGGAAGATTATAAAAGACTTCAGAAATCCCACTTTAGGTCAAACAGATTCTGGTTTAGTTGCATTGAGTTCTTTGGGGTGATAAAAAGATTCATAGACTGTGATCTTGCATGAAATTTTGGAGAAATGTTTCAGTATATTAAAAATAAATTTAGGGGCCAGCAGGTGATGTAGTGGTTACGGTGGTGGGTTCCCACATGGCCCACTGGTTAGATGGTGATTTCTCACTTTCCCTCTCACTGTCTCTCTGTCTCTTTCTGGTGAGCACACATGCCCTATGCTGAAATCTTAAAAAATAATAAATTTAACTTTTGCATTAAGGTTTTCCTTAGTGCTTTTCAGAAACTTATTTCTAAAGGTACTGCTAAAGCTGGTAGTTTCAGGGGACCAGCAGGTGGTGTGGTGGTTAAGGTGCTGGACATTCCCACATGGCCGACCAGGGTTTAAGTCCTGAATCTGGTGGCTTGCTTTCTCACTTCCTCTCTCTCTCTCTCTCATTATCACCCTCTGTCTCTCTCTGCTCAAACTGAAAAATAAATGAATGAATAAATAAAATAAATAATTATTTTTTAAAAAAGCTGGTAGTTTCATAGTTGACTACTGTGGAAATGGTTATACTCTTTCACTCTGAAGGAGAGGTAAGTTACAATATGACAAACATTGGGATAGTATATCATTTATAAAATTCTCAATATGTCTTATTGCACAAAATACTTACACTCATCACTTTTACCATAAATCAACACAAATAAATGCATTGTAATACCTTATATCTAAATTTGACAAAGTAGCAATGACAAAACAAGTGAAAAACTCTTACCACTTGGCAACACCACTACTGGCTCTGTAAACCTTTGTTCATCTGTTGATGGTAGGTTTAGGGAAATGATTAACACCATGCCCAGACTGGTTCCAACAAACAAACAAGGAGAGATGGAAGAGTCATTTTTCCGTGCAAATGATTCCATGAAGTATAGTGCTGTAATTGCTTCTTTAGAATCTTTGTCAATACTGGAGATGCTAGAGCTTCTAGAACGATTATAGGAATTTTCTCGATTTTCTATGGAAATTAAAAACAGTAGAAAGGTTAGTGTTTTCTACAATAAATAAAGTCATATTTAATACAGTCATGTGCTGCATAACAATATTATGATCAACCAACTGCATTTATGATGGTGGAGCAATAGGCTATGCCAACTAGCCTAAGTGTGCAGTAGGGCTACACAGTGCATCTTTATGTAACTGTACTCTATGATGTGTGCATGACAGAATCTTCTGGTGACAAGTTTTGCATTAAATGATCATGACTATACATGGAAACCAAAATTATGAGGGGAAGTAAAATTCCATTCTTTGTTAATTGTCTTGGAAGGCAGCTTATCCAGGTCACCAGCTTACTTTAAAGGAGAAACTGAAGTTCAGAAGCTAAATCATAAACTTGGGCAGTGCTAAAACTACAACTTGAATCTCTTGATTTTAGCTATTTTTTTTCTCTCTACATTACCTCACAAATTAATTAAAATAATCTGACCTGGAAAAATAGTATTTAGTCTAAATAGTCAAGGTTACAATAATTTCTAATACCACTCTTACTATATAGCCCTCCTCTCAATTGTTGGAAGTATTAGTAACTACTTCTTAGAAATTCCCACCTAATGATAACATTGTAATTATTTGAAAAGTAAGAACTTTTCTGAATCACAGATATTCTGTAGTAAATATACTCTATATCTTGGGTATTTATGGTAGTAAAAATTAAAGTTTTTACCAAGGCCAAAATGTAAATATCTCTCTATGCAAGTTGCAAATCACCTACCTTGAATCTAAATCCAGTTTTAACTTTACCTAGGACCAAATAAGGAGCCATAGACTATATGTCATCCTGTTAACAGTGGTAATTTTTCTGAGAGTTTAGGTTGCTTTAACCCACTTTAAGGAAATAGTATAGTTTCAGATCTTCTTGTTCATCAACTCTTACACATATATACACTTCAAGCAACATATACTCACCCATCTCAATGAATTATTAGTAATGTTGTATTATTCTTATTATCACTCCAGAATACAAATTCATCTTATTTTTCTTGAACTGCCATCACCCTTTACACACTGAAGATCCCATCCCTCTTGGCAACCCAACCTTCCTAATTAGTGGGCCTTTTACATGCCACATTCTCCCCACCCAAGCCCAAGGATACCAGTCTTCACTTCAACATCTGCTGTTGTTACTGTTGCTGGTGATCAATGCCTCTTTAATTGGAAGGGCCTTCACATATTGTATTCACCCCTAGTGAAACTGCAGGACATTGGCCTGGGAGCCTCTGTTGCCCTACCAACCCTACCCTCTTGACTGGTGAGCACCAATTGAGACCTGAGAATATCAGCTTAAGTGCTGTGTTTATGCTGCCAGTGACTGTCCACTTAGACTGGCATAATCTTTGCATGTCATGCACATCTCACCTAGAGCCTGAAGGTACCCTAGCCCAAGCACCTGCTACTGCCATTCTGGTTGACTATTCTGTACCTTTGACCCTATTTCCTGTGTGTGCCTCATCTAGAGCCTGCAAACATTAACTGAGTACTGCAGTAGCCATTGCCAGTGACTCCGCCCCCTCAACTAATGAGGTCTTTGTGTACTTTACACACTTACCCATGGCCTAAGGACATTGACTTGGGTTCTGCCACTGACTGTAACTTCACAATCTCCTCATCCTGCAGCACCTCCATTTTCCACCTAACCCAGAACCTGAGCCATCAGCCCCTTGGAAACCATGTCCCCAGCAAAGCAGTGTCATTGCCTCCACAAACACTAGGCAGTCTAGCCCACTGAAAAAATTGGGAGACTCTATTGATGTTGAGACTATACTTCTGTACCAAGCCAGAACCAAAGCCAAAATATCTCCACTCAAGGAACACTACTGGACACATCTGCAGAAAAAAAGGCTTTCCCTATGAATACTCCATAAAATTTGAGTATGTGACTGTTCACCAGATGTACAGATATGAATGTAGGAATACAAGAAGGAGGAACAAAAACACACAAAAAAACAAAACAAAAATGAAACCACGGATGTACAGATATGAATGTAGGAATACAAGAAAGAGGAAAAAAAAACACACAAAAAAAACAAAACAAAAATGAAACCACAACTCCTCCAAAGGAATACAGTAATTCTTCAATAAGAACTTAAAGAAAAGACAAGTTATGAAATGCCTGAAAATTTTAAAATAATAATTCAAGGAAACTTGACAATAAGCAAGACAATACAGATAAATTCAATTAAATTGGAGGAAAAATTCAGGATATGAATAAGTAATTCAACAAAGAAATAGATATCATAAAAAAGAACCAAATCATAATCTTAGAGCTGAAGAAGTAAATAAATAAATAAAAATACAACTAAGAGCTTCAACAACAGACTAGATCAAGGAGATGAAAGAATTTCTAAAATTAAAGACAAGCCTTTTGAAAAATGCAGACCCTCCCCCCTCCAAGAAGAAGAAGAAGAAGAAGAAGAAGAAGAAGAAGAAAAAGAAGAAGAAGAAGGAAATCTGTGATACCTATAAGGCACTATTAAGTGAACACATATTTGTATTATGGTAATTGCAGAGGAAGAATAAATGGGAGGACATAAAAGCATTAAAATTATTATGGATACTAGAGACAAAGTGGAAGGAGAGTGTTGAAGCGGAAGAGTGCAGGAAAGAAAATTTAGGAAAAAAATAGAGAGGTAAGATATTTGTGGGACACAGATATGGTTTATTATCTGTTGTTGAGGATGTGTATAGTGTTCTCAACTGGGATGAAGTGTATATCCAAAGTCTCTTTACAATCTAAATGATATATAGCAATTGAATGTATAAATAATAATAACTACATAAAAAAGAATAAATGGGAAAATGCACAGAAAAACTTATCTAATGAAATAATAGTGAAAAATGTTCTAAGTCTTGGGAGAAATAGGGATAAGCAGAGTCAGGGAAATTAAATGTCCCCAAATAAATTCAACTCCAAAAGATCCTCTCTGAAGTACATCATAGTCAAATTGTTAAAAGTCAAAGACAATGAGATAATCCTAAAAATAGCAAGTTAAATGTGCCAAGTCACATGTAAGAAAATTGCCATTATACTAACATCAGATTTTTCAGCAGCAACCTTATAATCTAGGAGAGGCTGGGATAATATAATATAATATAGTACTAAAAGGGAACACACACACACACACACACACACACACACACATACACAAACTGATAGCCAAGAACACTATACCCAGTAAAGCAGCCCTTCAGAAATAAAGGAGAAATAAAGTCTTTCACAGACAAGCAAAATATTAGAGAACTCATCAAACTACTAGGCAAGCTTCACAAGAAATATTTAGTGAGGCTGACCTACAGTCTAGTGATTAAGGGAAGTTGGATCCCACGTGGCTAACCACCTTGAGAAACACTCCAGGTGTGTCTGTTATGTATGCCAAATCCTGATAGAATGGCAAAAT